ACCTGTGTGGGGAGTTTTTAGGGAAAAAGACAACCTACAGGAAAGCTGATTTTTAGCTGACCGCTGTTATTGTTGGCTTCAGAGAAAACACATAAAAGGACCTACATGGGGATTTCCGGTGGCAGGGAAGAAACCGACTAAGAAGGGGATGTAGGTTGGTTGTCGGGATTCCATTCGAGGATACATCCAATCTCGACTCTACAATATCCTTTTTCAAGTTGTTTTGCAAGCAAACCAATGACGAACTTCTCTTCGATTGGGAGTGCCACTGGAGAGAGAAAGTCCCGCTCTCCGAATATCGATGGCGACTCTGCACAAGAAAGAGAAAGAGCAAATCACACCCAACAAATTCTGCTGACAGAGAAAGCAGCAGGAGAAATGGCGGCTAGAAACACCACTCCTCCCGACGCTTGCGTAGGGAAGAAAAAATACTACAGGAGAAAGGGCAGCGATGGATTTGGTTGTAAGACCTTGTGGAAGAACAACAGGAAATGACAGGAAGCAATGTTGGATTTCAGGGGAAAAAATAATGTTGTTTCCTGTGACTGGGAAGAGCAACAGAAAAAGACTACTTTGTTTCCTGTGGGAAATTCCTTCGGGCAAGAACAACAAGAAGGTTCTCCAGAGAGGGACAGCTGGAAAGTCTTGTTGTTGGGTCCCAACTCATCAGAGAAGGGTCGTCATTGAGAGCGAGAGCTGGTCGACAGAGGTCCGGCTGAAATCTTGTCGGGAAAGGCCCGGTGAGAGGGCGACAGTAATCCATGGTTGGTTGCCCAAGCAATATATCCTCGATGAGGATCTCAAACATGTTCTCACTATAGATGCGCTCCAGTCTCGTGATGAGAAGGTCCGAGAATGAAATCCTGGGATCGACTCTTTAGCGGAGAGAGATTTACCGGGCAACAACGCCAAAAACTTGATCATGATTTTCTGTATATGTAAGGATTTATTAAGTTGACACCACTGCTTGAAGATTTTAATCCCCGACAACAGCGTCAAAAACTTGATGCGCCCCTAGTGTAAGTTGTTTTTCTACATGTTTTATGTTAATTTAATTCTCTTGAGATGACATCAAAAACTTGACCCGACCCGAGGTTACGCTGTAATTTAGCTTTAAAAAATATGGCAAAAAACTTGACCCAATTTATATTAAGTATTTAATTTGCAAAATTTAAATATTTTATAAAATATATAAATTAATTCACACACTATAAATTCTACGTAAGTGCACTTATCGCTTCAAGTAATATAGGACTTTCCTTAAAAATCACAGTATCGATCCTACGAAGAAGCGAGGTAAGAGGTCCTTAGTCAAATTCTAATCTACTACTATTAGTCCTTAGTTTGGAAGATCGATCTAAGTGTTTTTTCTAACAAGTATTCCTAAATGTAAGTCTTAAGTTTAAAACAACTAATAACTATTCATGAATGAAAATATTAATTCTAAAGATAACCCTTTTTGGGTGAATTGGTTTGGAGAATTTTGAGATATTAAAAACTATTATTTTTATGTAGTGAATTGGAATGAGATACATTAAATATTACATTAAATATTATATGTGCAAAATAGGAACACTTTTAATTCTCTACCCTCAGTCAAGTGTTATAGAGAATCGTTGACTAATCTTAGGTTTAGTCTCTAGATTTGTTATTAGGTTGGGAGGATACTGACTCTCACTCCAGAGCCCCATTTCCCTCCCTTGAAGGCTAACTCGTTTTATTTCTTAAACACTAAGACCAAATTGGAGATTTTAGTATGTTACCATAGAATATCCAATTCTCTTCGCCCAGTAATATATATATATATATATTTCTCTATTTATTTGCATTCAACCCCATAAACTTCAACATCTATGGAATTTGAATGTGGTTCCACTTTATTGAGAATTAAATCGCCCTCTTGGGTTTTAATGCAATTACAATGAATTTTAACACTACAACGGGCCTTTATTGTACTGTAAAGGAAGTGCAAGTAAAAATTATTACATTTATAATCAAAACTTCTTCTAGCATGCATCTCAATATCCTAAACACGAATCCTACTTATTACTAAAAAAAGTTAAAAGGAAAACAATGACATAATCTTCTCATGTCACCATTTCCTAATAAAAAGAAAGAGTAAGAAAGATACATTACAAAACACAAAGAAAATACAACAGAAAAATTCTTTTCATCAAAGTAAATCTACTAGATAAGTGTTTACAAAAACATAAGATAATAAAAATCATAATACTTAGTTTTTTCTCTTTGAAAGAAAGATAAAAATCTATCTCACAAAGTCTCCCGCTGATCCATGCAATGCTAGTACATCTCCTTACAGATTTTCTCAAAATCTTCTCATCAAAGTAAATCTACTAGATAAGTGTTTACAAAAACATAAGATAATAAAAATCATAATACTTAGTTTTTTCTCTTTGAAAGAAAGATAAAAATCTATCTCACAAAGTCTCCCGCTGATCCATGCAATGCTAGTACATCTCCTTACAGATTTTCTCAAAATCTTCTATAAACATTCTCCACGTTTTTCCACTCACACACCACCTTTTTCTGACATAAAATCACTCTATTATAGCGTAGTGACGAATTTCCCAAGAGATGCCTCAAGCAACTTTCCGAAAATCATCCAAATTCAATTTATATGGGCAAATAACTGTCCCTGGCACCGTCGGCGCCACCTTGCAGCAGCTCCACCGTTTTGCTCCGTTTTAGCTCCGTTTCACCCCGTTTTAGTTGTGTTGCGTTCCTAACAGATAAACCTACAAAATAAGTATGAAAATAATATTTATTTAAAGTGTAATTTCATTCAAAAATGTGTGAGAAGTGTAAATGAAATTAAGCATAGAAAGATATATCGAAATGTGTCAGGTCAGAATTTTCTTTCTTGTTTTAGTTCCAAATTGCATCGTTTTTTCTTCTTTTTCACAAAAAGTTCATTTCTTGTATCTGAAGCCAAAAAATATGCAAAATACATTCCTTTAAAGTGCAATATCATTAAAAATGAGTATAAAATATAGGTTTAAAAATGCATATATTTTTTATACATCAAGGATCGTCGACAGAAACCTTTAGAAAACCGATAAAAGGGAACCGTCGGTATTTAGGGTGAAAAACGATGTTAGCTACGAGAACTAATGGCTATAGACTTTCTGGAGGCCGGTAGAGTCGAAGCTCCTGGTTCAGAAAGGGTCGGTCAGCAGACGAAGCTTGCAGGGAGAGAAGAAGAAAAAATCATTGTTTTAAATACCAAGATGAGTGTCTCTCCCTTCCCGCCCTCCCGCACAGAGAATGACAGGAAGGGAGTCCGACAATTCTCAAAGAAGAATCAGTGGCTAGAGTACGAAATTAAGCTCTGATACCATGTTGAAATTCAGAATAATATGAAATACAGAATAATTTCATTGATATGAAAGAGGGTATAAATAACCCTTACATGAATCTTATAATAGAAAAGATAATAAAAAGAAAAGATATATCACTTATTATCTCTAATAATCAATTCATATTAATTATTAGAAGATATAAGAAATAACATAAAATAGAAAAACAAATAATTCATAATCCAAGGAAATAAATATAAAATAGGAAATTAAATATCTCCTTAATCTAAGGAAGTACTTTATTCCTCATACATTCTCACAGGAATAAATTATTTTCTAATATAACTCCTAACACATTGTGACACAAACAAGTTGCAACAAGTTTAACCTGATCAAACCTTTGTTAAGATTTTAGGATTGTCGGTTGCATATTTTTTTGCTTTTTTTCTTCCTCTTTTACTCATGAATTTGGGAGTTTAAACTTCGTAGGGCTTAGGCAACATTTTAAGGCTTACATAGTCTTCTCGGTCGGTTGTGCTTCAACCTCTATATTTTTTACCAAAAATGATATTACTTTCAATCTTTTATTCTGCAGGAATTGAATCATTTTCAAAATTGGGTGACTCTATTTATTTTGAGAAGCTGGGAAGTTCTCTTGGGCTCTACATAACACAATTTATACCAAGTTCCTTTGAATGGAAGTCTGGAGGCATCACAGTGATTCAGAAAATAAAACATTTTAGCGCTCTTGAACCTGTTCTTCAGATCTCTTTTGACATTTCTTCCAATGGGGTACTTCTAACCTTTATATTCAATTCATATTTGCTAAAAAAAAAAAAATGGAAACATCTTAAAATTGCATTGAAAAACAGGGGATTCCTTCTGGGTTTTAACTATTGTTTGCAAATTGCTGAACCACGTTTATTTGGTTGTGTATTTAAATTTAAGTTGGTTTCTGGTTTCTATGTTACTATCTTGCCTCCAGTACTTAATTGATTAGAAAGAAAATATTGAATTTTTCTTTTTTATTAAGGGCTTATGTTTTTGAATTAACTGTTAAATTAAAGAAATAATTACCGACTGTTGATATAGGCCCAACTTTTGCAGACAAGCAGTCAAATTTTAACCTTAAACATTCGGATACCATTTTGGACGGCTGGATCAAGTAATGGTGGGAAAGCAACACTAAATTCTCAAGAATTGCATCTTACAGATCCAGGTAATTTTAGGGCTCATAATGTGAAATTTAATAAAAAATGTGTAACACCAAAACCTTGACTATTTATGAAAATACTGCTTAAGAGAAAAAAAATGATGAAATCATTGAGAATTTCATAAAGTCAAAAATAAGGCTGCAATTTTGTTCTATTCTTTGATATTTGGATAGTATTATTTTAAATGAATATTGTTCCGTATTATGGTATGCGGAAATATGAGAAGATCCTAGAGGAAAATCTGAGAAGATCCTTGAGGAAATCTGAGAGGACCTTGGAGGATTTGATCGAGACAACTTGGGAAATACTTTTATTAGTTTATTGTTTTCCTATTCTATGTTATTTTATTTTATTTCAGAATTGTTTTTTTTCCTGAATTAGAATAGATATATTTGATAAGTTCGTAAATTAGTAGCGATTGTTTTCCTTACATATATATACCTTACAATGATTAAGATCAAGAGAAGTATTTCTTCTCTAAATCAGATTTCTGAATGGTATTAGAGATTGGGAACAAACCCTAGCTTTCTCCTTCCATTGGAACCCTCCAAGTGCCACTAGAATCTCGTCTTCCAGGCGCTGTCCCTGCAGTGAAATCCTCCAAAAGCCACCGGAATCCTCCCACATTTTCTCTTCCAGGCGCTGTCCCTGCAGGCCCTTCAGCTGGAATTTCCTTGGCAGAACTCTTCCCTACTGGTCTTTCCTCGGTTCTTGCCTGCATCTTTCCCTGCTTGAGTCCCTGTCGGATCTCTCTCTACAACGGCACCCTGCTGGCTTCCCTGAAGGTTTACTTTAAAACTTCCTTTCTTAGCTGCAACTTCATGATTTCCAAATCTCTCGTGGATCTCTCCTTGCTATGAGAAAATATTGTGTTTGGAGTCCGTACGCAAGCTCCAAACAACGGACACGACACGATATCTATTCCGTTGTCCGGTCGCAACTTGCATACGGACTCCAGACGCAATATTTTCTCCCCTGCTATAGGCTTTCTATTTCGTCGCAATGTTTCCTTCCTTTCTCAACCGCACCTTCTAGGAGCAGCAACGACAACAAGCAGCAGGAGCAGGAGCAGTATCAACAACAAGCAACAATGAGACCGTTTGTCTTATTTTCCTGAAGCAACCTGCAATCAACTCTCACCAATGCAGTCAACTAGTAGCAACCCTAAAAACTTTTGGAGTTGATGACCAAATACAGTATGAAGACGTCAAATTCTACTATGGAGTTTAACTCTGAATCAAAGACCATAAATTTTGTTCGGACGACTCCTGAACTCCTTAACTTTATCACAAATCATAAAATCAATGACCACAATTACTTTCAATGGTCTTAGTCAGTGTTTATGTATATCTGCGGTAAAGAGAAAGAGGAACATCTCACGGGAGAAGCACCGATCCTGAGATTATTGATCATAACCACCACACATGGAAGAACCAAAATCATATGGATTTCTTGGCTAGTCAACTCAATGACTACTAAAGTAATAGAATTTTTTGGTTCTACAAAACTGCCAAAGAAATATGGGAGACTGCAATAAAAATACTATAAAGTTGTTTGGGATCGAAACCAAGCTTCTTGACCTTCGTCAAGTAGAGCTAAGTGTTAACCAATACTTTAACTTCTTGGCAGTAATGACTACAATTGGATATGTTTGACACGCATGTGTGGAAATGTCCACATGATGTTGTGTTTAAATCTATTATTAAGAAGTATAAAGCCATCAAATTTTTCGTAGAACCAACTCAGGAATTGGATGCGGTGAGAGAGAGGATCATGAGAACAAAGCCCTTTTAATCTACCCATGAAGCCTTTGCTGATGTTAGAAGAGACACAACAACAACCTTTATCCCACTAAGCGGGGTCAAAGCGGGGTCAGCTACATGAATTATTTTTCTCCATTGCATCCTATTGAGTGTCATATTTTCATTTAATTCTAATAAATAAGATCACTCTTATGCCCAAGTCAGAAGAGAAGAGAATAAAAAAAGCTGTTGCTAATTGTAAATGGTGGTTTATCAAGTACTGAAAGCTTGGTCCTATACACTTATGATTCCTTTTATGACTCATAACACAAGAAGATTCGTCCCACGTCTTACTATTGTAAGAAGATTAGGCATATCAAGGACAAATATTAGAAACTTCATGGAAAGCCTTAAGATTGGAAGCTTAGACAAGGAAGGAAAATATCAAGAGAAAAAGGCTAATGCTATTACCACATCTAAAGGGTTGGCTAAACCATTCACTAGGGAGTAGCTTGAAGTATTGAAATTTTTTTTTTTTTTTGAGGTAATTCAAAGTAGCACACCAATCTCGTGACATATCTTTTTGGTGGGAGAACTTTAAAATTCTTTGACAATGAAAATGGAAGAGTAAAATTACAGCATGATTAAGATGAAACGAGAGATTCAGTGTTTTACTATCTTTTAGTTTTTTTACAGACAGGATGTTCAGACCCTAGCTTCAAAAGTGAAGAGACAACCCTAACTAGTGACCGTCACATCTTACAGACATAGTTCAACCCTAGGGGCAAGCAGCAAGAGTGCATCCAACAAAGCATTTAAGTACCTCGAGTAAGGAAAAACTAGTTTAGAGTGGAGAACTAGCGAAACCAACCAACATTCCTAAATCCTTTCTCGTCAAGAAGTGTTTCAGGTGCCACAGACTTAGGCATATTTAATTAGATTACTTAACCCGGAAAATGATCTCTTTTATTAATCGGGGAGCAGTTGAAGAAATAATCAGTGATCCAAGAGATGTTGAAGATTTCAGAGGGGATTCTTAACTTCCAGCCAATAAGGAAGAGATGTCAGCTATTCCATTACCTTATGAGAGTGACTTGAGTTGAATTAACAGTAGTTGATTTCGAAGGGATTGAGTCCAAGGTAATGGGTATGAGATTGTGGTGCCTCAAATTTCCTTTTTACATGCATTGAGAGGAGCATCAACAAAACTAACATTGGATCTCCAAAAGGGACATGAATTTGAGGGTTGATGCTAGACACAAGGCCACAGACGAGGTTTTCAGAATTTTCAGATACATAGCCAACCTCTTGAGTTGCCCCTATTGAGGGAGGTTCAATCTGTCAGAGATGAGAATCTTTTACGCTACTTCTAGAAGGCTTTATGGAGTCATTTGGGCATTAAATCAGTTCAACATTTTACCCGCTAACAGTGATCAGACATAATGGATGAACAACAACGTCAGAAATAGCTTTAGGATTTTTGGGGGAAAGAACATCCTACAATGGGGTTCAGGTCCTTTTAGAGAAGAAGAGACCTCTCATGTTCTGTTGTACTTCAATGTGGTTCAAGATGCCATAATTTTTTTTGGAGTTGATTCCTTATAACAGATTTGTTTATCGGATATCGAGTACGAGAAGCATGAGAAGAATGTTACAAACTTATGGACTCGAGAGTTACTTTTGCAGGAATTTACACTATGTGTAACTCCAACTTAAGTTGTGTCAAAAGAGGGTGGATGCTTATTCTATCAGAATGTGTTTTGGAATGCAAACACCTATTGAGTGACTTACTGAGGAGTTACAGTAGCTCCATCGTCTTTAATGTGGCCGAGCTGAGACCATATCATTAGAAGTCAGAAGCTATGATGAATGAGGTCAAAGCTCCTCCAATCATGGGATTTGGACGCAAGTGTCAGATGGGGGTGGGTTAGAATTGCGCCAGGCACAAATTGTTGCGAGAGTTTGTGGTTTTGACTGGTCTAGGAGGGCCAGGCGACTCTTTCTTTACGTGGAATTGTTGTCTTATCTTTGGTCTATGTATGTTGCTATCGTCGTGCTCTATGGGGTTTATCTTTCGTGTTTCTGTCAGAACAATCGTCGACATCTAAGTATTTCCTTATAAAGTTGTATCGGATGTTGAGTGGTTTTTCGACTATATTTCGTTTGAGGTGGTGATTATTCTCGACCTTCCCACTCTACCGCAACATTCCCTCCATTGCTGCCACCATCATGATATTCATTGTAGCTACCCAGAAACACCCCCCTCGTTTTTCTGCAGCAACCTACTACCTAGTAGCCAAACACCCCCCACCTTGTTGTCATCCCTCATCGCTGCCTTTCTAATAGCCAAACAACCCCTCACCTGCCACGGAATCGTTGTGCTTACCATATGTAATCTCCCGACGACAATTTACAGCCCCCAGGCTTTTCCATATTGCCGGCCAACAATCTCCTTACCCTTCTCTGCTACAGCCCGACCGCCGCATCCTCCGCCCTCCAACAATCTTACCATCAAACCCACAACCTTCCTGCCATGCCATTCCCATCACACCCTACAGCCAACTCCCAACCTCCTCCATCGATCACCACCCTTGGGACACTTTAGTTGAGTTTTTTTGCGTTTGTTGTTTGATTTACCTTTCAAAAGTGTTTGGTTGTAACCAGCTATTTATTTTCATTAATAATATTTAGTTTTCTTATTATGATTTGGTTTAACTCCGGTATCACTCATAGTTCTCGTTGCTATAATCTTATACGTGTGGTTTAATAGCAAAAAAGTTTCACTTGACGATTTGGATTTCTGTAATAGTCTCTTAAAATGACCATATCCGGATGGACCACCGGTATTTTAATGAGGCTTTCACTGCGAAACCATCATTTCTTTTCTAATTGTATGCCTCATGTGCGGGTTTAAAAATTAAACTTACGTTGGATAATCTATGTTCTACTAAAAACTAAGTCCTATATGCATGTTTATTTTTTTCCAATGTGCTTTTAAATTATACTTTTGAGATCTGCCTGGGGAAAATTATTATAGCAAATAAGTTTTTCATTTGGTTTTTAGTTCCAGTCCCGGTCTGATATCAAAATAAAATATGGCGAAGATATAACTCTAACTTGTACTTTAAAATCTTTTGAGCACTGGAAATGTTATAGTTTGGCATTCTGTGGTCAAACTATCAGCATAGAAATTAAAAACTGTTGTTTTTCACCAATTGTTGGCCTCATTGGCTATTTATGGCTGATTTTATTTTTTTCTCCAGCTGATTTTTATAAACTAAACCTTGTGATCGCTTCTCTAAAGTTACATAATTCAAATTTTTTTTTATTCATTTGCGAGTTGTGGATAATTTTCATGTCCTACGGTTTCGTCTCATTGCAGGGACTTTCCTCTCCATCTCTAGGATCTGGAGTTCAAATGACAAGCTGGAGCTTCAGCTGCCCATCAACTTGTGGACAGAGGCAATAAAGGGTATATAACTACCTCAACGTTACGGTTTCTTTTTCACAATTTTGCACTCAAAGCATATAACTTGCTTAGCACTCAATTCTCATGTATTTCTAAAACCAAAACTTGAATTTTTACATTGTGCCACCTTAGCTTTTGCATGAAAGGGTGCACTTCATTTTTTATAAGTTAAAATAGTGGCATTTTGGATGTGATATGAAAGATTTGGGTAGTATAAAGGTAAAAAAAAAAAAGCAAACTTTTAGGGATTAGATATTTAAATACATGAGAAATAGAGGGTATGTATGTAAATGCCTGACATAAAATATTCGCAAATCCTAGATTGCATTCACACACAGAGGTATTCCTTTTCATCCTCTGCAGATGACCGGCAACAATACGAATCGATACAAGCCGTCTTCTTTGGACCATACCTTCTCGCTGGCCTCTCCGACGGCGACTGGGATGTTGACACTGGAAATTCCACCACCGTTTCAGACTGGGTAACTCCAGTTCCAGAGTCTCAGACATCTCATCTAATCTCACTATCACAAGAATCCAACAACAAACATTTTGTGGTCTCCATCACAAACAACACCCTCAGAATGACAGAATACCCTAAATCTGGTACCAACGATGCCCTTCATGCAACATTCAGGCTTGTTCCTCAGGACGCCGATGAACAGCTCTTCCAAGCTCCATGTTGCAATAATCTTCTTGGAAAATTTGTGAAGATTGAGCCATTCAACAGCCCTGGAATGTATGTGACACCTTTGTCATGGAATGGAAACGTTATTCTCTCCACTTCTCCCAAGACAAACTCAAAGTCTACATTTCGCGTCGTTTCGGGTTTGGACGGGAATGCCGGCTCAGTGAGTCTGGAGTCCGGAGACCATAAGGGCTGCTTTCTCTATACTGGTGTGAAATTTTCTGAGGGAAAAAATGTACAGCTGATATGCAAGCAGAAGGATGATGCTTCTTCATTTAAGAAAGCTGCGAGCTTTTCATTAAGCAGTGGGTTGAGGCAGCATCACTCTATCAGTTTCAGGGCAAAGGGTGTAAGGAGGGACTTCATTCTGGAGCCATTGATGAGCTTGATGGATGAATCTTATACTGTCTATTTTAATTTGACAAGATGAAAACTGGGAAAAAGGTGATTGATAATGTGTTAATAAGGCTTATTTTAATTGGGGAATGGTGATGATCTTTATAGTTGATTGTATCTGTTCTGTTCTTATAAATTGTCAGAGACTCTCATTTGTTAATGAGCATGTTCTGTATTGAAATGTGAATGTCTTTTTTCACTCCCTTCTCTTATTTAAGTTCTGTCTTGTCATTCTTTAGGTTGTGTGTGCAATTATTCCTCCTCTTTGTGACAACAAGATTTTATAGATATAAAATATCATATTTGGGATGTTGGGTTTGCAAATACATAAGAATTGTGTGGGAAGTATGTAAAATTTTCTAATATGTATTTTAAACATACTAATATTGATCCTATTTATATAAAATCTTATTTAAATTAATTAATATTTGAAAGAATTAAATATAATTGTAATTATTAGTTTTATAGTATGAGGAATTAACTTGAATTTATTTTATCAATTAAATTTATTTCATTATTTTAAAATATATAAAAAAAAACTTTAATTTTACTTTTTATGTAAAAATGATATTTTTACAAATGACATGTTCATTTAGATTAAGAGGTCTTTTTAGTTTAATAGTTTAATAATTAAGCCCTAATCTATGATTATCATTGTTTGCCGTATGGATGTGAAATTTATCTTAAATATTTTATTCTTCAGAAGAAGAAAAACCTTACATTGCGTGCTAGAATTAGTAACAATGTTCTATTCTAATAGTTCTAAATGTTATTCTTTTTTTTTTATGTGGCATTTATATACATACACACAATTGCTATGTATTTATGTTTCTAACATCTATAATTTGGCTTTTATATTTATACCGTCCAAATCTTTCATAGCACATAAAAACACTAATATTTAAACGTTTAAAAATGAAATACACATTTTTATGATATATATTTAAAATTTATTTTCAATGTGGTATGAGCAGCGGGTTTGGCTGGTTGAAACCCGATTCTTACAAAATGCGTGCGAGAGAATTTGACGACGCTCACTCATAGTTCTC